GGATAGAGAGAAGATGAAGGTTTTAAAAAAAAACTGACCCTCCAAATTTACTATTTTGCCCTCCAACTTATTTTGACTATATATCCTTCAATACAACTCGGATTTGGGCCCACTACGTGTCTACGAATTCATCTCGCTGCGCTCTACGCAACGGTATAACTGAAATTCTCAAATTCCCTCTTGGTCAAAAAGTCAACCTTTGACCTAATAAAAATTCTAAGGGCATTTTAGTCTTTTCCTCCAATAAATTAATAATTAAATATTAATTTTAGGTTTGGGTTGTTACAATCTTCCCCCCTTATAAAATTTCGTCCTCGAAATTTACTTTCCCTCTATCAGAGGGGGTGAGGGTACTGGACCCACAACTGCTACTCGTTTACAACTATAAGTCTGAGTATCTGCATCTATAATTCGAATAATAAAATCCGGGAGCAACCTATTTATATCTGTATACCCTCACCTTTTCGAGTGATGGGTATTAAGCCTACATCTATTACTCGGGGTTCTCAAGTCTGTTCTTCTAGTACTGTACTCACTACTTGCATCTCAATAACTGTATTTATAGGGTAATCAATAAAATCTGAGGGCCACACATTTATATTTGAGTACCTGAGCTGGCTTAAGGAAATATAAAACTCTGAAAAGATCTGCTAATTTACTGAATTTCTGATAGACTTAAAACTATGCTGCCCTCAACCTGATAATCAGCTAAAAACCCCTTTTTTCCCTCTGAGTATCTGACACCTGGCTAATGTTGGGCACAAAAGACTAATTTGCCCTTCTTAATTGTAATTAACTGAAATGCAAGTGCGACTTCTACCGAAAATTCGGCAGAGCCTCCCCTGTAAACTGAGCATTCCCAAAAATATTCGGCCTGTAAAACAAGGATATATATTTATATAACTCATCTGCCAGCATGCATTAAATCATATCCAAATAATCAAGCATCATAATATTTTGGCCTTAGGCCACAACAATTCAAATAAATCAATCTGCTAATAAAATTCATCTCAACTTCTTGATCAACAAAGATACTCTGGCAATTCAACAT